GTTTAATAATAAAATAATTTAATTTTGATTTAATAATATAACTTTTTATAAAGATAATAATTAAGTATTTTGTTAGAACTCAATAATTATCCTAATTATATTTTAGATTTTTTATATTTAAAATAAGATGATAATGTTTATTTGCAGTTAGTTATACGAATTCAAATATGGAGTTTTAATGTACTTACGCACAATCGACTCGTAATCTTGAGTTTTAAGTAACATGCATTAATAAATAGTACTTTATGCATAAAAAGTGGTTAATAGCTTAGTATACAAACATAAATTTACATTAATGAATTAAATTATAAATTCAAAGAATTTGGATAATATGAATTAACTGCTTATTTGAAACAACTTATATTTTTTTTATAAAAACACTTATCAATTTATTATAAGTCAGAAGGGTTTAACTTTTTCAAAAACTTCTTATTATCGGTTTGACACTGGTATAAGTTGTTTATCCAAACACTCAAAACTGTTTATTACCGGTGCCACACCAGAATAAGTCAATAAGTTGTTTTTATAAGGAATCCCAAACACCCCCTAAGTCAACCATTAAAGTGATTACAAGGAGGGTTATTTATCTGTTTATTTATCAAAATTCGATATCTAAAAGATTCCTAACCAAAGACTAGGCCGCTACCATTCTTCCATTTGACGTTGATGTGAAAGTGTGGAATTGATACAATAAATGTGATCCCTAATTTCTTGGGATTATTTTTTCTTTTGGTAACAAATTTGGTAGATATTTGTATAGTTTGGTAAGTTTGTTTGTATGTTATCAAATCCTTTAAATTGTGGGATTCTAGTTAGGCCTCTAAGCTGTATAAATACCCCTATTGCTTTTCAATGAGAATAATAACATATTTTCTCTGAAATTACAAAAAGTTATGCAAATCTAAAGGGAACGAACAATTGTGATATAGGTTTTCCGATTGGCGTGAGACCCCCAAGAATTCGACACTTTCTTATCTCAAATGCTGAATGAATATACTACCCCTTGCCTTCAAGGCTACAAGAAACCTTTGCTAGAGTTCTTAATGAATACCTTTAGTCTCCTCAACCCGCCTCTCGTGGTAGTTTTTCACGATGGTAGACATCTAACCACAACACAATGATTGAACAACCAACTCCTGTGGTTAGGATTAACGATTTCATGGTCGCAAAGGTCATAATTCGCAGGAGCATTCCAGGTCTTAATAAGAGAGGCTGAACCAAGCTCTTCCACCACCACTCTCTTGTTCTCTTTTCAACAAGGATGGGGGTATGAAAATGAGATGCATGCAAAATAATGATGTTTTAAGCTGATGCTTATCGGTTAATTTACTCCAGTAAATCACCTCTCCGCTCGTACTCTGTTTTGTGCATTTGTTGTTAAGAGCAGGACGAAAAGCAAGACCATGAAGTAATATCGTCTACGTGTTTTCTTCAATCACATAAAAAACTTTTTACATTTAGAATAAAGAATTTTTTGAGCAACTAAACTAGTCCATGGTGTTGAACCACAGCATATACTAGTGATACAAACAACAGAGAGCAGAAAGAAAGACAAGTAGCAAAAACAAAGCGAAACTATTTTCTGAAAAGACAAAACTTGGAAACGTAGGTCTTGATCCAATGACAAAATATATGGACAGGCAGACATGTTGTGGGTTTAAATAACTAGAGCAAATCCAGGAGCGGGGGCTGCTCAGATGATGGTTTTGGACGCGACTGACGACCACTCGGCCCTTGATTTCTACTTCCTCTCCCTCTACCAACAGCAGTCTGGGGAGGTGGAGCAAGTCTTGGTGCCTGCGGGCTCTTGCTGCTTGAAGCAAAAATGGAACCGAGATCTGTAGGCTTGGTACCCATACCCTGATTGTTTCTCAGGGACCCAATGGAATTCTGGGAAGTAACTCCATTACTGGGATACTCGATAGGATTATTGGCCCAGTTGGTAATTGATTGATTTTCTGTACCGGTGCTTGCCTTTCTGTTTACAGATAAACCGTTGCTAGAAGCAGCTCCAGGCATAGCCCAGTTTGCAAATGGATCTAAATCATCAAAGCTTGCTGAATTCTTTATATTTTGGGAAATGTCAGAAGATGACTGAGGCGGCCACTCGAAATCAACTGCAGGGCATGATGTTGATGTTTGCTGCATGGATGGTATCGGGAATTCCAAATCCTTTGAATGATCACGTTTGGGCTGGCTTGGTGGTGTGCTTGTAACAGGTTTAGCTTCCATAGAGGATCCTCTTGCCGGGACCCAATCTTCATCCCATGTCACATTACCTTTCAAGGAGGATGAAGCAGTTGGGACGCTTTTCTTTAAAGGTTGTGTGAAACTCCCATCGGGTATAGGAAATGATTTTGCATCAACCCCAGAATCGTTCATTGTTACTCCCTTTTTCTCTTCAACTTTCCTGAAACATGGCCACAATGAGCCCAAAGAAAGAAACCAAAATATTTGTATTAAGTAGAATATGTCAGCTACTTAAAAAAAAGCATTTTGCAAGAGTAGGGAAAAATAGAGCACGGAAAGCATAGATACCTGAGAACACTCTTAACGAATGACATGTACTTTGCAAACTGCTGAACATTTAATTGTTGTGCAAGGAGGAGAGGGATGACTAGTGGAAGAACATGCTCGACGACAAAGTCCACTCCATGCTAAACAACAGGAACAAGAGAAACGTGAGCTGTTGCCAACAGAATACAATCGTCATGATATAGAAAGCACATCACCTGTTTCAAAATGGAATTTGCTACCCCAAGGGTACACATAAGAGTTGGAGCAGAACGGTCAACAGCAGTGCAACGCTGAACTGTTTGCAGGATCTCCAAGATAGCTGGCTTGTCAACTATAACCACCATATCACCTAAACATAACAAAGCATTCACTCTCACCTGCCAGAATTTGCAGTATCAGAGGGACGAGATATATGAGGTATCTAAGCTTCTCGCATCATAGACAACCATCGATATATATATATATATATATACATACATACATACATACATATACATATATATATAGGAGGATCAAACGAGAATGCTAACTATTTAAGAGAATACGAAAACGGCTAAATCACGTGCAAAATCACATGTGATTTTACATTAATGGTCAAAAAAGGTGTGCAGGCGACTTTGGCCGCGTCTTCAGGTCGCAGGGCAAAGTCCCGTAAATCACATGTGATTCTATACATGATGTTAGTGTAAAATCACATGTGATTCGACTGTTTTCTTATTCTCTTAAATAGGTATCTTTCTCGTTTGAACCTGACTCTCTCTCACTCTCTCTCTCTCTATATATATATATATATCTATATATATATATATATATTTAGGACAGTAATCAAATGAAAATCACAAAAAGTTACAAACCTTTGAGTACCAGTCTCAAATATTTTCTACATGGTTTTTCTTTCTTCTATTGCTATGATTTAAGGCATTGTTCCACATATATTTGTATTCACATTTTGAAAAAGTACATGCGAAACTTTTTTTGGTTCACATTGTGAAACAAAAAATACATGATAAAAAGTTTCACATTGTGAAACAAATACCTCTAGAAATAATACCTTTTCAAAACAAATATGTGTGAAACAATGCCTTAGATAAAAAAGAATCATCTGAAACAATAGTTTGAGATTGTTTCACACGGGTATGTAACCTTTTTGTGGTTCTCATAGGATTTACCCCCATATATACATAGGAACAGTAGGACCCACCTTAACACAAAATAACACATAGTTACACGGGCATATGTTAAGGTCTTACTAGTTTTGAAGGTTTTCATGGTTAATGTGTGTTACATCAGTTAAGGAGTATGTTAATGCTTTCATGTTAATATATGTTAAGATTGTGGGGTATGCTAAAATATATTCATGAATGTTCAGGGTCGTTATAGTATGTTAATGTATATTATGGTTTGTTCATTTTCGTGTTAACGTGGTCGGTTTAAGGCATGTTAAGCTGTCTGATGGAGGTTAAGCTATGTTAACCTCCATGTCCGCCAACAAAATTGCCGTCCCTTAATTATCAAAATGCTACTGCATTCAGCGGCACCATCGGATCAAGAGGCGTGCTTCATCCAACGGTTTTGGGTGTTTCCTACGGTTTCTATAGATTTTACAGTTCCTACCTAAAGACTTTAGGCGAATACAAATTTGTATATTGCTATGTTATTTTACAATACAAGAGATATATATATACACAAGAGAGAAAAGAGATGAGGATAAGGACTATTCTAAAGCAACTCCCTGTTGGAGTCTAACTCTCTATTGGAGTCTATCCTTAACAACGTAGCACCTTTCCTTATATACGAATCTGTCTACACTACCCAATCTCGAGTCTATATATTTACACCTTCAAAAGGAAATCATAATCATATTATATCTACAAATTCAGCCAAATTTTCTCATAAGCAGCCATAAATACATCAATTGAAACCTTGGTCAATTGGAATGACTAACATACATATATGATATGTAACATAAATGATGCTAAAAAAGATTGCATACCGCAGCAACTGTCGTCTTGAGTGCCAAACCATGAACACGAGGCAGAATTGATTGTTTCACTAGCTGGATTTAAGTCAATACCAGATGTTAGCACAAGATTCACCCACATATTTAAGTAAAAGTAAAACAACAATGAAATTATCATGGGAAGGGAGTCCGAACAAAACCTATCTAGTATCAAGTAGTTTTCACCACATGAAAGTTGGATAATGATTAAAATGAGACCTCAAATTGTATATAATAACCATACCAAGTAAAACACCTTACATGAGCAATTGTAATGTAAATGGCTACCAAAAGATGACGTTTACCCAAGGTGCGTCTAGCTGAAATGTGAATGCGGAGATGTATGTCAGGCCACACACTCAGGGATATGATTAGAAACAAAGATATATGAGATATGGTTGGTTTGGCACCGGTTAGGGAGGAGCTAGACAACACCATTTGAGGTGGTTAGGTCAGCTCGAATACAGAGCTTCAATTGCTTGTACTTGATCTTACAGAGGAACATCAAGGAATATTTTTTAGGGCAGTCACAATGGATAGTTACACACATACATAAAAGGGCAATGCTGTAAACATGATGAGGAAGCATTATAAACGAAAATAATTTCTCCCAGAAGGACTTGCATTGCCACTGCTTTATTAATTTGTCAACAATAGAAAAGCATAAGAATCTGAAGATGTTCACTTCTGAATTTGAACTACAAGCAAAGGAGCTGATGAGAAGAGGGTGAATGAGATCGTATCAATGCCTTCTATTTGGCAAAGTGTTGTGGATATCCTCAAGATAGCGGCTCTCCCATGTACAAGTGCTTAGATTGGTTAAGGCAGAGAGAGGCTGCCAAATGGTATAGTTGGTTTCGCCCCCAAAACTCCATCATTTGTCACATTTAAACAAAAGTTACATTAAGATCCGTCAATATTGGTAGAATGGACTTGTTGGGCAGAGATTTTTTGCTGGATCCTTCTTGTTATCGTGTAATTAGAATCGTTAGTGTCCATATTTGTATAATTTGCAAACATCAGAATATTAAATTCCTCACAAACAATGCACATAAAACAGTAAGGGAAGTCGGTAGTACCACGGTAACGTACTAGCCCAGTAACACTAACACCAAATTATAGACTTTACACAGCACCAAGATGTAACACTGAAAAGTAACAAGTCACCAACACAGTTATACAGACTACACAGTGATGGAAGGTCACAGAAAATCAAAAATTATTGAGAGCTTCCATTTCCAAGCAAATGGACCCAATACACCATGTGTAGATTAAACTTACTAACTTAATACATATCACATGTATAGGGCGTTAACACAGTGAAATCATGTAATACAGCAAATAAAAACAATTATTAATAAAAATTGTAAGCATAAAAGCTAAAATTATGATGAGAACCAAACATGATTATTGAATAAATTCACTAGTAACCAAGGAAAAGGTTGGCCGACTCTCCACAGATACCTAACTTAATCCTAAATCTACATGAAATCAAATCAAACGTAATGATCAACCTCTCCTGATCCCTATTTATAGAGTTACTTCATTATGAAAACAATATAATTACCTAATTAACCCTACGTGCAATCCCACGGGCCAACATTATCCCCTCCCAAAAAATCACCTTATCCTCAAGGTAGCCGGTGGGGATCTAACGATGAGGCTTTGCATGGGAGTAGCGCTAGGGGCCAAGAGAAACCAGACAAGGGAGTGGACGCCTAATAGAACGGTTCATTTTGACCGCAATGAGGCTGATGGTTTCACTAACAGGGCTTATGATAGCTTTGATTTGGAGTCCACCAAGGAAAGGTTTAACACTGAGCAAATTTGACAGAGGCCGTCCAAAAAACTTTTCACAATTGATTCTGGGAATCTAATGTCCCCTTTGTAGGCCCAAGTCCTTTGGATCTCCCTCGTGATCATCGACATATGTGTCTTCCGGCTGCTGTCAAATTTGGGGTGTTAAACATTTCCTTGACTCCAAAATTAAAGCTTTCAATATGGCTCAATGTTAATCCCAAAAGGGTGGACTCCAAATCAAAGCTATCATCAAGCCTGATAGCAAAACTATCAGCCTCATCGCGCTTAGGATGAAGCCTTCTATTAGGGCAAAAACTACATCTTTCAGCATCTCTGGGCCCACTTGTGTCCATCTGAAATCTATCAACCTCATCCTCCATCAACTTTGCTTCTTTTAGCTCATGCGTCCACTCCTGGCTGATTTCCCTTGCCAAACCCAGCCCCACAAGCCAAGTCCCATACCAAACCAAACAACCCCAATAAATCTGACGCAGAAGTAGGATTGGCGAGATGTACACAGACCTACCTCTACCTCAAGAAGGAAGAGAGGTTTCCAAGAAAACCCACGACTTGAGAAAGAAATTGGAACGCTTAGCTAGAAACTTCTGTTTGTACAACACCTTTTTTAAGAAAGGCAGGTTTAGAAAGATTGCAAACAATTAAAAAGAAATTAGAAGGCAAGAAGAAAAAAGAGAAAACAGGTACGGATGGTGGAGACAACTAACCCATCGAGTCCTAGCTAAAAAGAACATGGTACACTAAAAAAAATCCCTCCATCATCTATCTTATGGCCCTGCAAACCTATCTGTCGACTCTCTACCCTCCTATTCCCCCTCCCCCCAACTGCAAAACCCAAATAACATGGATAGTTCAATGTGCTCATCAGCGCCTGACCCTGAGATGTGGATCATCCAAGTTAGCACACTACTCTCATGCCATGCCTTATGGATGTTGCTAGGGCCACATCATTTGTTGCAGCTGTACGCTCCGCCTGCCGTGCTGTCTGTCGGCCACATTTCTCGGCACTCTCGCCATGTGCCCTCGCAACATTTGTTGCCGTGTCTACTGATGTCATCCACCATCTCTGCCACCAATGACCACACCTCTATTTCCTGTTCCTCTGTTACGATGACCTTCCCCCTACTGCTGCTGCTCTCGCCAACCTCTCCCTGCATTGTTGCTGTCCCTGCTGTTGTTGCCGTTGCTGGTGCAGCTAGTGGTGTCCCTCCTGCAATATTGGCCTTTAGTAACTTGTGCCTTAGCTTTTCGGTGGGCGAAAATCACGCTTCAATCTTCTCCTCCATCTGAGCAAATGTTCCCATCATAGGTGAATGGTTCTTTCTGATCTCCACCTCCAATTTTCCTGCCCACTCTACCACTTTTTTGGCTGCCATTGGTCTCAGAAACTGCTTTGAAACCAATTTGATAAGAACCCAACAAGATTATCAATAAATTTAACCTGTAACTAAACAAAAGGTTGGCCAGCTCTCCAAAGATGAGTAATCAATCCTAAAATCTTTATTGAATCAAGCATAATAATCCTCCTCTCCTAATCCCTATTTATAGAGTTATTTCACAGTGCAAACAATATAGTTCCCTGTTGTTTTAGATAATCATGTATATTATAGATAATTATGTAAACTAGAATAAATTAGTTGTAAATGAGTTAGATTTATTTTCTTTCCTAGTTTTAAGGATGCATTTCCTATCAAGAAGGAAACTAGTTGTGTATTTATATGCTACCTTGTAGAAGGGTTTAATTCAATAGAGAAAATAATTGATTTCTCCAAAATTACATTCCCCAATTTATTAATTAACCCTAGATGCAATCCCACGTGGGCCTAACAAAATATACCAAGAAGAGAAGTTAAAAACGAAGACGTAAAACCAAAAACTCAAAATGGAAAGGTAAATTGGAAAATATCAAAAGATCATGTAGAGATGTAGTAAAGATAAGGAATACCAGAAGCAAAGAAGAAAATATTGTTGGAATGTAGGCTTCGGCCTACTAAGTTAGACAAAAGGGAGGAGGCATAAAGTAAGGAGCCGGCCCTAGCCCAAAAGGAGCCGGCCCTAGCCCAAAAGGAGCCGGCCCTAGTCTCTACCCTAGTTTCCTTGATTAGAAGATAACCCTAATTATGTTTGTCTATATATATTAATCTCATTGTACTTGTAAACATTTGTAGCACCTAAATAAAAAAAAACCTAGTTGCCCCCGTGGACTAGCACGATCAATCTGATCGTGTGAACCACGTAAATTCTTGTGTTCTTCTCTTGTTTTTGGGTTGTGCGTATTGCGTGTGTAACATTTGTCCTAACAACTGGTATCAGAGCTTTAGGTTCTTGATCTGTTACACTCAATCGCTGAAACCCTAGCCATAGCCTACCGTCGCTGCTGTTTGCTGCTGCCACCGTTGCTAAAAGTTTGGGATAATGGCTGAGGACGGAAAAACCAGAATTGAGAAGTTTGATGGACAAGATTTTGGTTGGTGGAAGATGCAAATCGAGGATCTTCTGTGTCAGAAAGACTTGGATCAAGCCTTGACAGGAATAAAACCCGTAGAGATGGAAG